TGTATCGAATAGATCAGGTGTATTTGAAAGTTAATGATTAGTAATAAATGTATGTTAGTTACACTAGAATTTCTGTTTTCCTCTTTCCATTTTGATTCTATGAAATTAATAATAATAATAATTATTATTGGTAACGTACGACATCGTGAACTTGCACTTCTTATTATACAATGGCGAATCGATTTAGCAGGGAATGTCAAGAAGTTTATCTTATAATAAAATATAGTTTAAACCAATTGACTTACAGTCATAATTTGATGAAAATTTCATCGATTTTTTTTTTTTTAAAATTACTTCTACAAATAATGTAACGATCGTAAAACAAAGAAGATGATTTTAACGTGAAAAAAAAATCTTTTTTTTCTCTAACTAGTAGCGTTTATTGTTCTTGAAAACAAAATCACTTAAGTTTTAAGAAAGATAGAAAAGAAAATACATTTGAAATGCTGTATTGTTGCAATTTCTAAACTTTTGATGAACAGTTTTTGTTTATTTGACATCGAACTAACCTTCATTTGAGACCTTCAAAATTTTTTCTCTCTCTCTCTCTTTTTATTGATGAAAAAAGAAGAGAAACAGTCATATACTACTTGTCTGATTTAAGACGGATAAAAGATTTATAGTTTAAATTTATGTACATAGGAAAGAGGAGTTTTTGAAGAAGTATTGACTAGTGTTTTGTTATATATTGTTCAAAAAAAAGAAAATGTTTATCTTTATCTTATCAATGTGTTTTTTTATCGTATATCTCAACTTGCACAGTTAATGTGTCAGTTTTATAGGTCTCACCTTTTTAATCGACATTTTTATAATTCATTTAATTTAAGTACAAGGTAAAGTCTCTTATTCTAATCGATTTTGTCGTCGATGTCGGAGGAAATCCTTCATGGTTCAATACTCACCTTTTTTTTAACTGTAATTTGAATGAGTGATGGAGATTTATTTTTCTACTACTATTGATGAACACGATGATAATTAATGTATTCACCTTTTTTTTTTTGCTCATTGTTAATTCCAACAGCACTAGCTTAGCGGTTTTTTTCGAAAAAAATTTTTTTTTTTCTCAGAAATGCTAAGTTCTAATATTTCTTTCCAGGTGACAAGAAAAAAAGGAACAATTTTATGTGATCGTTTATGTGTGTGTGTCTGTGTGTAAATGTTCTTGAAATAATCACATTTTCTATGTTAGAATCTTGTAAAATAATTTTTTCTTATCATTGTTTAAGTATCTCTCAAAAGAATAGTCATAAATTCGTATGTGATATTGAAAACTCTGAAGACATATGTTTCTTTTTTTTTCTGAAAATTATTTTTCACCTTGTATTTCTTCTTTTTGACATTGGTTTTTGTTCAAAAAGACCTTCATGAGTCGACGATTAGCTCGCTCTGAAAATCTGAATCAACTATACAATTTTATCAGGACTGAGTTGGATTTAATGCCGAACAAAAGTGAAAATTATTTTCCACGAAAAGTTTTTTTCTTCTCTTTTACTTCTTGGTGATTCAGAGCTGAATATTCTTATCAGTACTTTCACTTCAAGTAACCACATAATACTGGAGACTCAAGGGAGTGCGCTTGAAAATAACAGTAATATCTTCTTATCAACATAATACTATTCTTATATATTTATTGTAGTCAAATGTATTAACTTTTTTTGCACTATTCTCAAAGTTTAGATATCTTTGTTATTAATATAAAACTTTTTCGTCTGATAGCTGTTTCACAGCTGAAAAATGTAACGGGAATCAGGTTAGAAATTTCGAAAATTATCTTTTTTTCAGATAATCCTGCGTTCGTCGTCAGAGTTACTCAAAATTTCTGTCTCTGAATTAGAATATAGATTTTAATCTGAGATCTGGTTTAGTCTGTATAAAACTGCGGAGCGCTGATTCAACTTTTCAAATCGAGCTGATCGTTCACTAGCGTTGTAACAACTGTCTTACACCATAGAATATAGTAAAATACTTCTATTAGTTTTAAGAAATAAAGGATTTCTAATTCTTGAGGAACACATTCGTATTCAGTCACATATTTTCCAGTTTAAATGTTGACTTTTATCACGTAATTAAGGTATTTGATTATTGATTGAGAGAAAATTAGATTTTTCGTTAAACACTTATAAATTAATCTCATATCAAGCAGAAAATATTTTCTTTCTATAAATAGTCAAAAGTTCAATTTCAATAAAATACAAATTTTTCATGAACATAGTCAAGTTTAATATGAAACATATTTTTGTTCTCTTCTAAAATTGCACTTCATAAATTTGAACGTACGACACAAGTTGATGTCAAAATAAATCAGCATCAATAAGGTATTATTGATTATGTCATCATATTCAAAATTTTTTCCTCAAAGATTGTATTACTATCAATTGTTTATTATCGATGTCACACAAAAATTTCTAAAAGTTAATTTATCGTTTTCTATGTATATATGTGTACAGTAAATGCATGATGTATAGAAAAAAAAAAAAAGTCTTTTATAAAAATAAAAAAAGAAGCGAATCAAGTTTAATGGTACTTGGTAAAAAAAAAGAGTTACACAACATGCAGATGAAGAGCAACAAGTGACCGTATACGCTGGTGAGAAGAAATGAAGTGTTATTATTTATTGTATATAGATATATGCATACAGAATGTTTAAGAATGTGTAAATTTGTAGAGTCTATGTGTATGATATAGATCACTGAACTCTGGAACTAAATAAGTATACTCACCATCAGTATTATTGTAAAGAAATGACTAAGTAAAAAATAGTTCATCCTTAAGTGCATTTTCTAACACTGTTGTGTGTGTATGCATGCACAAAAGATATTGTCAATTACAAGGTCATTCCTAAATGACATTTTTCTATTATTCTTCACTCTATTATCTTATTCTCAGTTTTAATTTAAATTTCTATGCTTAAAACGAATCACAAAATCCATTATCTAATGGCTTTTTGTAAAATATGGTGTTTATCGAGTGCAGTAATAGTTAGAAGAATTTGTTTAAAAGAATTATTACTCGAATTATCGACAGAACCAACTACTATTATAGGTCTTTGATATATGTGACATCGGAAAATTTTGTACTTCTACTTTTATCCACAACAGAATTTTAATAATCCATTGAGAACAAAATGGTACTCGATTGAATTTTCTCAAATATTTGTTGTTTTTTTTTGAATTTTAAATCTACTTGATCAATTTTGAAATAAGATGAATCATTTTCAATAGCTCTTAGCAGTAAATGGATGTGTTTTCTTTAGAAAAAGATGTCTCTCAACTTTTGGAATTATTCTGCTCATAAGAGAGAAACATCGTAATATACAATTTCAATCGCATTATTTATAATGTTTTGAAAAACTGTCAAGTTCGTTATCAATTAACATTTGCAAAAAAGTTAAATTTTAAAAAAAAGCTGAGCGTTCGTATTTTCGACTCCGACAATGAATGACTTTCGGAAAAACGAAAAATAAAAACACAACAAATGTTCTCTAACTAGAATATTAAAAAATTTGATCTTTCGCATAAAATTCCTTCTGATTTGACAAGAAGTCGAGTTTCTCTCTTACCGAGATATACTCACCGTGAAAACAGTATCATTCTGTAAAAAATTAGTTATGCTTGAGAACGACTGGAAAATGATTCACACACACACGCACAGACATAATTCTCATTCGATAAAATTTATCTTACTTAAAGTTAGTTTGTCTGTGAATGTAGTTATCACTTTAATATGTATAATTTCCTAATAGAAAAGCGTTCAATCGTGTTTTCATTGTTATTTTTATTTATTATCTTGTACAACTCCATTTGTTTACATTTCATCTATTTCTCACATTTTTTTTTCTTTCTTCATTTGAGTGCTGAACTTTTTCTCTATCATTTTTTATCATGCTGAGTTTCTTCAATCAAACTTGTTTTGTGAGATGGTACTATACTGAAAATGGTACTACTACTTTGTGTTTCTACACTATAATCATCATTATCATCATCATGTAAACAATCCTATTTTCTTTCTACGACTATTGTTGAATCTGAAGATAATGCAGCATCAAAATCAACAAGAGAGTGAATATTATTATTGCATGTTGACAATATAACAATTGTTTAACACACATGGTCATTATTACAAAGTGTACAATTTTTTTTTTTCTTTTTTTCTCTTCTAGTTTTCTCTCTTTCTCCCTCTTTTGCTGAATTGCGTCATTATTACGTACAGATATCGACAATTATTATTCGTTTTTTCGCTGTTGATGATAATAAGAAGAAGTAAAAGGATCATAAATGTAAAACAAACGAGTTTTACAAGAACAATATAAAAATTTTTTTCATATTTGACTAGTTCTTTTATTTAAAAAATAAAAACTAAAAGATGTTGACAAATAACGGTAACATAATGATCAATTCTTCCTATGATAATATATCATCATCAACTAATGATAAAAATCCAATTTTTGAAGAATTGCAAGGTATTATAGACATATATTTATGATTTTTTTTTTGATGATAATTATGATGAAAAGTTGAACGTTGATCTATTTCAAATCGACATTTGTACGTCTAAAGCTATTGAGAGACCAAGGACGTTACTATTATAGTTTATGCTCAATGCTAAAACCTTGTAATGAACATAAAATGACACAGTATAATTAAAGTAGTTGTCTTTTTTGTATATTGCAGATAACAATCAAAAATAGAACAGATGACATGTTAAGACATACGATATACAGAATTCTGTCACATTCTGTTGACATATAGTAAACTTTTTAGAATGTCAGTAATCGCACCTAGATTCGATTTTAAATTCTGAAAGTTTGAATTAAAATGAGCAATAAAGTTCATGTTTGCGTGTTTTCCTGCCATAAAGTTATCTCAGTCAGTCATAGCCATTCTGAAAACTGCAGGATTTCAAAATTTACGAAAAATTTTACGCGTTTAGCGAATTTGTGGCACAAACAGGCAAGAAGCTGCGAGTGTAGGGAAAATAACACGCAGGACGCGTGCGTTGCTATGGAAACAGAGACTTTGCCCGCGTGTTCCTGTGTGTTATTTTCCGTACACTCGTAGTTTCTTGCGTGTTTGTGTCATCAATTCGCTAAAACGCGTAAAATTTTTCGTAAATTTTGGAATCCTGCAGTTTTCAGAATGGCTATGCCTGATTGGGATGTCTTACTCTGATCCTATCTACAATGGTAGCAATCATTTTTTGTACACCTCAAATTTTTTTTTCCTTTAATCATAACTCAGTAACGAAAAACGCTTATGATAAGTGGCATTTGAACCAAAGTATTTTCCGCTCTCTCTAGTATATTTGCACATAAAAAAAGCTAGACATATTCACTATTACTCTTTATAGGCTCGGCTCATTACACTGAAAAGTGAACTTTTCAGGACGACAAAAATTTTCCATTGTGCGAGCCACATTTCGGTAAAAAAATTATTTTAAAAAGTCTTTTCAGGACGAAAACTCGACTTTAAGTCAAAATTGCAATACTCTTCAGTTTGACTGCTCAATCTCAGGAATAAGTAGGTCAATCATGTCAATTTTTTGATTAAAAGATGAATCAAATTTTTCCATTTAACTTCCAAACTATATTTATCTTACATCGTTTTTGACGCTGTTTCGAATAGTTTAATCAGAGTTTTATTTTTCATCCATTCAGTCCTGAGATTGGGCAGTCAAACTGACGAGTATATCAGCAATTTTGACGTAAAGTCGCGTTTTTATCATGAAGAAAAAAACTTTTCAAAATTATTTTTTTTACCGAAATGTAGTTCACCCTCTCTTCGCTCGACTGATGTAGTTTTTTCATATTTTGTCAGTACTAATACAACGTAAAAAACAGATTTTTTATCAACTGTACGAAAAATGTTTTGACGCCCACTGTAGATTTATCTTGGAACATTGCCACAGTTAATAACATGATGGAAGCTAATTCATCTTAGACTCTGGATAAAATTATTTTCAAAAAGTCCACAACATATAAGAATGAACATCTTTCGAAATAGACTTTTTCTGTTGAACTATTTTTGTACAATCGTATAAAAGACAAATGTTAGAAAATTTGAAACTTATTTTGTTATATTCTCCAGCATGTTCTAGATTTGTATAAAATGTAAATAAAAAAATCTATTCATTGATTTATTGATTTGTACTTTCGTATCAAACTTTTATTTCGCATTTGAAATTTTTATCAGCACGTGAGCAAACACTTGAAATAACGAAATAAAAATATGAAGCTTTTTTTTTGTCACATATAATTCGATACCATATTTTTAAATTATTTTTTTGTTAAATAAACAGATAGATACTAATAAATAAATAAATAAATAGATCATTTTATGTACATATTTCTTGAAATTAAGTTTTGTATTATTAACTAGAAATATCTTACAATGAAAAAACAAATTTCTTTATTATTTTTGAACGCTAAAGTTTTTCTATTTTACCACTTAACATTTTTTTTTACCTATACGAATCTTTATTTAAGGTTTAACAAAAGATCTTCGTCAATTTTTGGATGCTCGATTTCAAAAAGGTTCAATTGATCATGATTTACAACAAACAATTCGCGATAATTTGTATATGAGAACAATTCCATGTAAGTGTTTTTCTTCTCTTATTCATTTTGTTTTTTTATTCTTTTTATTAATAATTTTCGTTTTTCTTTTTTATTAAACAGGTACAACACGTCCTCCTCGTTCTGGTGAAACAAATGGTCAAGATTATACATTTTTAAGTGTTAAAGAATTTAAAGCATTAGAAAAAAGTGGCAATCTACTCGAAAACGGCGTTTATAAAGGTAACATGAAAACATATTGTTCATTGTCTATATAGGATTACTTTTGAAAGTGTAAACGCACAATAATATTAACAACAACAACAACAACAACAATTATCAACATATTTTAAAATTATTATTACTATTATTATTATTATAATACTTATTTTATTTCTTATATAGGACATTATTACGGAACACCGAGACCACCAAGAGATTCGGGTACAAATTTATTAAAACGAAGTAATTCTGTGAATGAAATGTTTTCAAATCATCATAATCAACAACAACCTCATCGAAATACAAAGGAAAATGGAAATGGAGCAATAGGTATTAATAAATAAAAACAACAAAAAAAACAAAAATTACAGAAAAAATGAAAGAAAGTTTCAACATGTTTTATTGTCTCTATTATAGATCATCATTCTTATCCTTTAAATATTAATAATGATCCAGAATTTTTTAATGGACACGAATTAGAAACTCACATGTAAGTAAAATTGAAGATTTTATATCTTAATAAGTCTGCTATCGTTTTTAAATACAGTTGCTAGACAAAATGAGAGTCTATTTATACGTACTGTTATTCATATAAAAAACTAATATGAATAAAAATATTTTGCTTTTTTTAGGTATAACTCCGGCGGCGATAGTCCACAAGCATCATCTAGTAAGTAATTTAAATTATTTTAAATATAAAAAATTCTTATATTTATTCGTTTTTTAATATTTTAGCGTCTTCATTTTCAAATAATGCTCATCATTCATCTGCAGTTATGTCTAACAATCACAATATGAATCAACACCATCATCATCTCTCCTCCTATATGAACAATGAAAATGGACAATCAAATCATCATTGTACGTTTAAATAAGATCAATAAATTTAAAATAGAAAATATTTATTTTATTTGTAATTTGTTTTTTGTTTTTAGCAAATCATCAACATTCTCGCCATAATCCAACTGTAGTCGATCTGGATCGTTCTCAAACACCACCCCATCTATCTGGTGAATTAATTAATTGTACACTTCATAAAGGTCAAGGAGGTTTTGGATTTACTATAATTGGTGGTAATGAAAAAGGTGAACATTATTTACAAATAAAACAAATTTTACCTGATTCACCTGCTTATCGTGATGGTCAATTAGCTCAAGGAGATATTCTTGTCTTTGTAAATAATCAAAATGTACTCGGATATTCACATACGGATGTTGTTAAAATATTTCAATCATTATCAATTGGTGATGCTATACGACTGACTGTATGTCGAGGATATCCACTCGCCGTTGATTTTGATGATCCAACAGTTGATGTTATCCCATTGAACGGTGTTAATGGAAATGGAAATGGAATGATTACAAGGTATGTATTGTATTCTCTTAATTATTTTTGTCTTCTATATAATTTTCTTGTATAAAATATTTACAATTTTAAATTTTTTATTATTTTTATTCTAGTCCATTATCGATACCGACAACATCCGAGTTATTAAATGGTGGTTATACAGAATATTATGGACAACGTGAAAGAGAACATGATCAACAAATTTATCAAATATCAATACGTAAAGGTGAAAAAGGTTTTGGTTTTACAGTGGCTGATAGTTTAAATGGACAACGAATTAAAACAATTGTTGATAAACAACGATGTCACGGTTTATGTGAAGGAGATTTATTATTATCTATTAATGGAATTGATTTAACGGGAAAAAAACATTTGGAAATTGTTGATATATTAATTCATTGTACAGATGAAAATGATACAATTTTTACAGTCAAAAGAGGACAAGGTATGGCAAATTTTGTAGTCATAAAATTTTTAAAAGTTAGAGAAGTAACTGTTCTGTTGAGCTATAGATATCAAAACTGTAATTATAAATAAGTTTCTTATAAATATATAGAATTTTTGATATTGTAGAAGAAAAATCTCTTTATTTTTACATACGACAAAAAACGTTACTTCATCTTTTTATAAAGATAAATGATCGTTTTTCCTTCATCTCTCTATGACAATAGAAACCATAGTACATTTCCACACTGTAGTTATTTTTTTTTTAACAACGAAAATGTTGACTAATTCAGTTTATGTTCATAACATTGTGTCGTTACTGTTTAATTTGTATCAAATTTCGTTAATTCAGTTGGTACATCGTTTCATTGTGTTCAATATCGTTGCTGTCGTCACTTCTTTCTTGATATCTTTTAATTTCATCTCTACTCAACAAAAAAAAAAACGGAAAAAAAATCCATTTCTTTTTAATATTATCAAAATCTATTCATAACCTTGTTTCGAAAAGGAAAAAAAAAAACCTGTTCTATTTGTATTTGAAATAGTACACTAATACTATCATAAACATAAGTACATTAAAAAAATATATTATAGACATATACTTACATAGAGAAGAAAGACGAAAAGGTATATCCTAAACTATGTGAATAGAGAGGTTGTACCACGCTTGTTTACTATTGGTACAGAGTGTAAAGAGAACTCAATTTTTTCAACTAAGAGTAAATTAGAGAGAAAGAGAGAGAGAGAGAGAAGAAAAGACGTATTGTAAGATTTGTATCAGTTTGATATTTAGTATAAAACAGAAAAAGGTTTCTCGTTAGAGAGAACAGACAACATCAGTTATATATTAAAAACAGAAGCAGGTATGACTGACGACTATTCTTTAGCTATTTTGATTTTCATTAGCGATAATTATACAAATATAAGTAGCATAACAATTCATAAATACGTAAAATGATCACGTTTTTTTTTCTCCCTAATATTCGTTTTTGATGAACAGTATGATTTTTTTGAATTCATTTTTATGAGAAAAAGTTGATTTTGTAAATGACATTTTATTGTATTATTTATACGTTTTGCTAGTCGACTAGATCCTGTAAGAATCTGGTAAAAGTAAGAAATCCTACGCAATTTTTACAAAGTCTAAAGAAAAAAAGTACAATTTTTGAAAATTTCTAAAGAATTTGAACTGGAATTTTTAGAATAAAATCATGAACATATCCGTTTTGTTTTATATAGACAAGAATTATAACTTAATTACAAAGTCGTAAAGTGGTAGTACAACCTAGCAGTACAAATTCAATTAAAATTTATGAAAATTTCAAAAATAACGAAAGATATATGAAATTACTTTGTGTAAATGTCGACTAGTGTTTAGACTAGCATTGTGATTTCGAGCAATAATTTCAATTTCAGCAACTCGCAATAAATTTAAAAATAATTTGTTTGTAGATTTTTTATTTAATCTATCAAAAACGCAAATTGAGATCTAATCATGTATATATTGTAAAATCACCTATTTTATTAGTTTTAAAATGTGTGACAGTTCTCTATTATCGTTGAATATCCATAAAATAAAACGAAAGATATGATAAAGTCAATCTGCATAAAATAATGACCGTAAAAAATCAAAAAAAAAATATTTTTTTTGTTTTGTTTTAAACATCTGTTGACATAGAACATACACTCACACATCTGGTCATTGAGTAAGTGAGAGATAGTTCAACGTGTGTGTGTGTGTGTGTATGTGTAAATTATTGATAAAATTCTATTCTAAATGACATTCAACTAAAATTTTTATTTTTATTACATCTCTCACTCTAAGTATGTACATTTACCTTTTTACTTCACGCATACATATACACTCTTTTTTAACTTAACAGAATTGAATGTATATGTTCATAGTCTATGGCTCCATTATGTTTTGGGGACTGAAGAAGAGAAGAACAAAAAAATATATACACACACACATTCACCGTATAATCGCATCATCGAATAGAGAGTATTTTTGTTGCTTATACATTGTTAGTTTGTCGACACACTTCGTTCGCCCGTCGGGGAAATAATGTCAGAGTTCAACATGATCATTTTTTAATTAGGTTCCTCTTCATAATTGATCGTTATTTTCAGAATAGTCTGAAATCATAAAAAAAATCAAAAAAAAAAAAACAAAAAAAAAAATGAAAAGAAGAAGAGAAAGAAGAAAAAAAGAAACTCCACTATAGTGATTTATAATAGAATAATTCTGTTATTTCTTTTTTTTTATTTGTTACTCATCAGAGAATAAAAATTATTCTTCTGTGTAAAGAGATTAAATAAAAATTAAATGTAACAAAAAAAAAAAATGTTAAGATTTCGTGTAACAAAAAAAGTTAAACAAGGTAAAAATAAACAAAATAAACGCACAATTATCATCATATTTAAATAATATTTAAGTGTTTGAGAAAATAGAGATATATTTAAACTAATTTTATCTCTCTAATAATTAACATTATGATATTTAGAATAACAAAAATAGTGTAGGATGTTCAAATTTTGATTTGATATATATACCCACACACACATACAAATGTAGATACAAATGATTCTCAATGCTTCTAAGATTCTATTTATCATAGGTTTCTAAATTCGAATTGAGTTAATTTTCAGATATCAAAAAAAAATGACGCTGTTTTCTATTCTATATACCCATGGTGTTTCTGCTCATTTCATCTATTATATGTTTAATTATATACCTTTTTTTTCTCTTTTTTTTAAGGAGATGTGATTACGACTCATAATGAATCATCTAATCCAAATGTGAACAATTCTTCGACTACAAGCACAGATAATAACAATAACAATAATAATAATAACCATACAAATAGTCACAAAAACGTGATATTAGAAAAAAATAATCATTTTAATAATTTAAATCAGGTAAAGATTATTTTTTTTAAACCTTTTTTTTTTTTTTGTTTTTTTCACTCATCATTTGACGGAAAAAAGAAAAATATTAAATAAATTTAATCGATAGGATTTTTTTTTCAATTACTTTTATTTTCTAATTCTACTTCTTTTCTAAAATAGCTACAACAAAATGAAAATTTGACAATTCGTAACATACGTAAACATGTATCATTTTTAACCATTGAAAATAAGGTACAAAAAATAATAGAGTAGATATATCCTTTTCTCATTTTCATCATTGTTGTTACTGTTGTTGGTATTTGTTTAATTATTATTCGATCTATTTTATTTTGTACGTGTATGTTCAACAAATGGTATAGATAAAAAATAATGGTGAATAATTTTTTTGTCTAAAATTAATTTAAAATCTTGAAAAAAAATTTTTATTTTTATTTGAGATTTTCTCAAAATTAATCATCGATCTTTACATCGTATAATTTATTATTATTATTATTATTATTTTTGTTTGGTTTTGTGTTGCTTTCTATTTTTTTATTTTTTTTCCTTACATGCATGCATCAAATTTTGTTGTTGCCATTTGAACATGAATAGAGAGAGATTCTACTCGTTACACTAAAATTTTAAACTTTGTGTCAATGAGTCGTCGTCAGTCAACGATCAATGTTTTTTTCTTATTGATCGTCAATTAATATTTGAGCGATCCGACATTCAACACTTTTTTCCGGTCAGGAAAATCGTTCAGGTTGATAACGATGATGATAATAATTTCCTTGTCGTCCGATTATGAACTGAATTATTTGAAGACCGGTAGAGTGTGAGGATGAGCAACCATAAGTGATGTGCTTCGCTCAAATATCGTTTAATCATTATTGACACTTGCTATTTGAAATATTTCCAAATGAAAACGATACATCATTATAAAAATATAAATACAAACTTTTTAAGTGTAATATAATTCAATTGATTTTATAAATGAGGTCTCGTACTCGACAATATGTGTGAGAATAGGGTGTCTGATATTAAATTTGATACATTAGTTTTTCTTTCTTAAAAAATCAAACAGGCACGTACAGTAGATATTATTCTTGTTTTACTGATGGATATAATAAAAAAAAAAAAGGATAATGATCAGAAAAGAATGAGATATCTTATGTTTATTTTTTCTTTTTACGTATCTATCACTACTGTGACGATATACATATAAAATCATATCTAAAAAAAACAAGTTTATTTTCCATTACTTGCTGTTATACATATATAAAAAGAAAAATGTATGTGAAACAAAAAGATAAAGTGCATATTCTTATCCTCAACATTCCTCTGGTGTATCATAAACTTTTATCATTTCATCTCTGTTGAATAGAAGAAGAAGAAGACAAACGTCCAGTAGTATTAAGAATATATATGTATTTTGTAGGAAAATCATTCGACAAAACCAACATCAATTACACGTGATTTTAATGGTAAGTGAATTTATTTTTAATTTTATAATTATTGTTAATAATTGATATTTATTTGTTCTTTTTATTTTATAGAAAAACCACGAAGTAAAACTCCAACTCCCTACAGTAATCCACCATTAATTGATTCATTGCCATTACGTTCACGAACACCGTTACCAAATAATACAAATCGGTTTGTAATATATTTAAATAGTTAAAAGAAGAAAATTTTTGTTGACTATTCAAACTGATTATGTTTATTTATATTTATTTTTCTATAGAAATATTGGTAATTCAACTCGTACTCAAACATTGACAAATCCATATGATAATAATCTAAATTTTTTAAAACAAAACGGATATCATGAACATCAAAATAATAATGATAATATTAATATTCAGTCATCTATCGAAGATACGTTTCCTAGAACTGAAACATTTCCCCCAAAGCCATCAATAATGCCAATGTATTATAACGATGAACATCATCCATATAATATTGATCAAAATGGTCATACATGGACGAGAAGTGCAAGAGATATAAGATTAAATGATAATAATGCGTTAAATAATATACCACCATTTTCTACATCAAAACTAACATCGAATAACGGTACTGGTCTACGAAGTAAAACTCCTGGACCAGAAATAAATTCGTCTACACAATATCGAAATAATATGAACAGTAATCTAAAACAACGTAGTAAAACTCCAACAACAGCCGATTTTTCATCGTATAATAATACATTACCAATACAAAGAGAACAGCAACAATATGATCAAAAAATACATAACAGGTTAAGATACAACATTAAACGTGTTTGTTCAAATTAAAAGAGTCGACAAATAGAAAAGCGGCTAGAGAAGTTTAGTTTCACAAATTTTTGCTGATTGCGTTTTCGGAATTTTTTCTCTGTTTTGATATTTGCTTAATCTATGGTATATTTATGTACATGAATGCATGAAAAAGTGTACAGAAAAGCAGCATTTCTCTCTCTCGGGCGCGCGCATTTAAACAGACAAATAATCAGAAAAGCAGTCAGTAAGGTTAGAATACTAGGCGAAAATACTAGTGTGTGTGTCATGAGAAGATTTTAGAAGTTGAAAGAAAAATAAGATTTCGTTTATTCTGGTATGCGTTTATAGAATTTGTGTGTTATTGACACACAGATAGAAAAAGAACAGTTCGAGAGAAAAATATACATTGCAACGATATCAAATTGATATAGTTACTTTAATGGTGTTTTTAGTTAAATGAGAGACTCAGTAAACATTCTAACTCTCTTATTTTTCTTTTTAATTTTCAGTCGTTCGTTACAATCTGTAAATTCGCATCAATATTATGAATTAATTGTTAATTTAACATTATTGAGACCAGAAGATGGATTTGGTTTTCGTATTATTGGCGGAGAAGAAGATAACTCTCAAGTAGCTGTTGGACTTATTGTACCGAATTCTCCTGCACATATTGACGGCCGTTTAAAACCGGGTGATGAAATAGTTAAAATCGATGGACATTCGGTTATACGTTCATCACATGAAAAAGTTGTTGAATTAATGCAACAAGCAAAACAAAATCAACGAGTTAGTCTACTAGTTAGACGATATCAAGAACAACAACAATCACAACAACAAAAACTACTTCAGCAACAAATTGTGAATGGAAATGGAACAAATTTTATGACAAGTAAGAGACGTAATAAAAAATAAAGACAGAATAGTCTACCTTTTTGCTACTGTCACCGATGTAGAGTGTTAACAAATGCCAGTTTCAATAGTCCAATATCTTTCTTATAATTGACAAACTTCTGACATGGTTACCCATGTTCTACCATTAGTCATTAACTCCAATGCTGGCCAGAAAAATAGTCTAACACAGAGTTATGCTGTATTTTGTCATTTATTCGTGCGTTTTTAGCTCGTCCATCAGAAAACGACCATCATCCATCATATCCGTCAAATACATTGAAACGTAATGGTCTTAAGTCACCATCGACAGTGAATAATGACAATAACAATAACAATGGAGGTGTACGCTATATCACTTTGTATAAAACAAATGATGCTCAAAGTTTTGGATTTGTTATTATATCATCTCAAAATAAAGCTGGTGCCACTGTTGGTACGTATCTCTTCTGATTATATCAGATAAAGAGTATTGCTATTTATATTTGCCTCTAGACCCATTATTTCGAGATCATTCTATGTTTGATGAACAAAAAGTTTGGATAGGTATAACTTAAGTTATATGCTTAGTTTTTGCATGCATAATTACGTGAAAATAAAGCACACAGAGTAAAATATATCACGCAACACCCATCATCTGCTATTATTAGAAAATATGTCTGATAAAGCATGCTATCTCGTTTAAATAAAGGGAATGGTGTGAACAAAGAGTGAATCCGTTGTTTTGCTGTTGAACTAATGAGGTTTAACGAAAACTCTAACTTATAAGTAAATGGTAGAGAAACAGAAAATATATTTTGATTCAGATGCATGTCACATGTCGTTTCCTTGCTAGACAAATTTGTTGCATATTAAGATGAATTTTTCTCATCTTGTACATATTACATATTTACATATTTTTATATGTTTTTATAGGCAAAATCATTCCAAATAGTCCAGCTGATTATTCTCAACAATTACATGTAAATGATCGAATTTTGGCAGTGAATGATGTTGATATTACGCACATGTTACATACAGATGTTGTAAATTTAATTAAAGAATCCGGACGATCAATAACATTAAAAATTGGACCACCTCATGGTTAGTACAATTTAATTTTTGTCTTTTCAATTTTATGCATTATGTATGTTTTATTCTTTTTTCTTTCATAGATGATCGACTTTATGATGTTGATGGTTTAAGATCGAATTTACCTACTGAGAATCGTACACAAAAATCGTATATATCTCAGTCAAACTCTTCAAATGGTGTTAGTAACAATCATCATCATCATCGTCTTCAATCGTCAATGCGACCATCATCCTCATCACCAATGGTAATCGCACAAACTGACGGAATTAATCAACCACAATATCAGATTCAACAGGAGTATCAAACATCTACTAACAATAATAATCAGAATGCAACAATTAGAAATGCATTTTCACATAATCCATTGAATATTTTAGAAAGGTAAAAATAAATCACAATAGTTTTTATCATCTAAAAATCTTTTTTTTTCTAAACTTATTTCTTTTTAGAAATCCAAATCGACCTGTTTCAAGAGCAAATGGTGTTTTAAAATCTGTAAGTAAATCTTGATATTTTATTCATTAACCAAAAGTTCTATATTCTTTTTTAAATTAAAACATTTTTAGACATTATCTGATGATTATTTTACCATTGATCTTCAACGTCCTCATCTATCATCGAGTTTTGGTTTTAGCATTAGAGGTGGAAGAGAATTTAGTATTCCATTATTCATTTTAAAATTAGCTGACAATGGTCTTGCAGCTAGAGATGGAAGAATGAGGGTATGTTTCATATATTTTATCATTATAATTATATTTTAATCTAATAATTCTTTATTTCTTTCTTTATTTTAGCCTGGTGATCAAATAATTGAAATAAATAATCGATCAACATATGGTATGACTCATCAAGATGCTATTTCATTAATAAAAGATGGTGGATTATATGTCAGATTATTAATTCGAAAAACAAATGCACCTCCACCAAGTCTTGATGAAGTTAAAACAGCAATGACAAGTCCAATATTAAATACCAATGAATTTATTAGTGTACCACCATCACAATTAAATGGATATAATCATCAATATCATTCTCATGTACCAACTGGTTGGCATAATAGTTATGATCATCATTCATAAAATATTTTATTTATTTTTTTTTCTTACGCTTTTATTTACATCACCTAATATGTATAGATCTGATTTCTTACAGCTATTTTTTTTTGTTTTTTTTCTTATTGTTGTTTGTATACATGTTACGTTCAATTGTTCTTTTCTGCGTTTGCTTCACATACACACATTATACACTGATTAAACTCGCTGTTTACTCCACTTCGTTAAATTTCAAACAAACGTACCATGCAATCAACATTTGTGTCGTTATCTTCATATATTTTTGCTTCTTTTTGTAATTGGAGATCATCTCTACTCTTCTTCTTTTTATTATTATTATTATTATTCGTATATAGTAAATTTGATATTGTGTGTTTTTGTAAATACTGAATAGCATAAAACGTTATTCTTTGTTTTATTTCAAATAAGAATGAATTCTTTGTTTTATTTGAATAAGTGAAAGAATGGTGGTAGTAACGGTGTCTTTTTTTAAAAATCTATACTATATATCAAAAACAAAACAAAAAAGATAATGTTAGAATAGACTATTTGAAAATTATCCCCATTTCACTTTTGATTTCTTCTTCATGGAAGTTGATCACAGTTATCATCAAATGTTCGTACGATTCGACTGTTTTTGGTGTTTTCTTTTTTGTTTTAATCTGTTAGTTTAAAGAGAATAATCAGTTACGAATAACTCGGAAAATATTTTATTTCAAAAATTCGACTTTTTTTTCATATCACGATTTTTTTCTTTATGTCTGACGTATCTCTATCGTCCAATCAATTAATGAGTAATCTGAGAAAGATATTCAAACCTAAAATGTACCCGTCAATAATTCGTATTAATCAACAAGTTCGAGTGATAATAATTCGAAATACTTCTTGATTATTAAAAAAACCAACAAAGTACGTGTGTTTAGTCGAAAATTATGTCGCTTCGAAAACTATGTCGTTCAGAAATAAAATTTACATTGTTAAGGTTTGAAAAAATGTTTGTTTTTATTACAAAATCGTAGATGTTGAATTGATAGAAGAATCTCAATGTAAACTTGTTGCTATAATCTCAAATTGCGTAAGACTGACAGAAGTGCCTAAAATAATGAGACTGGAGAATGATTTACAATTAAAGACAGCATCCATCGATCGTTTATTGATTATTATTATTTGTTATTTTAACTCCTAATGGAAAATATTTTACTTTAATAATTAAAATATTTTTCTTACAATTAGGACGGGTAATACATTTATAATCGATAAAATTGAAAAATAAAGATGCTATTTTAATATTTCTTTACTTTTTGTTTCTTAGAAAGTGTTTCTCACTAGAGAGTCATTTTATACTAGTCTTAAAGTGAACAAGTTTTGGTATACTAGTTTTTTAAATACTATAACAATCATATAATGTGCATAAAAAGTTCAATTTTGAATAGTTGAACAAAATCTTTTGTCTTTTATGTAATTTCTTAAGAGTGATGCTCATTCCGTACATGCAACATTCAATTCCTAAATAATTTTGTTTTGTTTTCTTTCATCTGTTATTTTTGTGATTTGTTTTGGCATGTAATGACAACGTTTAATTTAGCATTCCTATGACACATATTATACAATATTTTGACAAATATTCTTAAAAATATTTTACTTATAAATGTATATTTTTATCAGATTTTCTTTTGTGCAATGTTTCTTATGCTCATACATCAGTTGTTAATTTTAATTTTGTTAGATATGTATGTTTTAAATGAGACTTATTTGGTTTATCTTGTTTCTCTTATTGTAGTAAAATTGAAATGAATTTTTGTTAAATAAAAACGAAATATTATTATTACGCAATTAGAATAGATAAAATAGCATTGAATTCAACTGAGTGAATTTAGGCATACATCGGTTATAACCAATTGAAATTGTGCACTTGTTTTGTAAAAAGTTTTTCTCAATGAAAATTGATTTGAAAATCGAAAATCTTTCTAACAACTGAGTATTTGTAGAGTAAACATTTTTTTCTACAAGATGAGCTATGGGAATATTCTTCGTCTTGATCCAGTACTTGTAAAAAAAAAACCAGATTACTTAAAAGTTCCTACAACCGGTGCATGTCTAAATGGATTCAAATCTGAGTTCTATAACAGTCAAAGCAATACGTAGTATAGCAAAAAAAAGTTCTTTGCTTATATTGAGATGAATATTTGTAACAGTTTTTATATGTCGTTAAAATATAACAAGCAATGGAACCCATCGGTAACACAAAGGGATGTCTACGTTATTTTTCTTCTTTGACACTTTTTGAACATAATCCATTGATTGTAGATTTTTAATCTGAATGATATTAAATAAATTATTTTTATAATAATTGTTTTATTTCAAGAACTATGAGAGTCGACTTGTTTTATGAACCGCTTTCTTCATTACAAGATGAGTGGAAGGCTAGATTTTATTTTTCATTTTAAACTGCACACATTTAGATTAGGTGCATCGAACATGATGTGTAACAAAGCTTGGCAGCTCCGCCTCCTCGGAGCCGTCTCCGTTTATAAACGGAGACGGAGCTGAACGGGAGGCGTTGAGTTCAGAGCCGGAGCCGGTGTGCGGATGATGATGTGCGCGTTCGATCGAGATAAAAATGACACTCTTACGGCAGATAGTTATATGAGTGAGTGCGCTGATGACACGTTAATGTATGCTGCCTCAGTCTTGACCTTCTTCTCTTAAATGTAACGCTTTCGAAAGAAGATTTTTTATGTATATATCATGCAGTTATAGAGTATATTTGTACTTCAAAACGATTTTCATTTTCATATTTTTCCTTACTTGAAAGCCTAGAAAATTCAATCGAAAGAAAAACAAGGAAAGATGAACATCTTTTGGAGCTGAGAGGGGTCGGTGCTGCCCAGCTGCCCAGCAAAAAAATACAATTTAACAACAAAGAAACAAATTGTTACTTCATCGGTATTTTTTTATTTATATAAGTGTAAAACGATCAAAATATCCTTTTCCCACGGTAAAACACAAAAAATTGCATACATGAGACACGAGAGGGAGGAGATCTTTTGTAAAACAAAATGTGAAACTATTTCATACGTGAAGGTAGATTTGATAATCCTGGTTAGACGTTTTTTCAGTGCAATCTTTTACTTTTCATTTTCATTTTTGCACCGTGTACCCGTTCGCATGAAACGAAAGAGTCAATGACACAATTGCATGAAATGTTTGTTCATTTTAGCGTGTATCTTTTAGATTGCTAGACTTTTCTTTGAAATGAGTTCTTAAAAAAAAATCTCCAAAATTTGTATGAACATTTTATCAATGCACTTCCGACTAAATCAAAACACGTAAATCAATGCACACTAAAGTAGGTGACAAAAGTTTAAGACCACTTTTATTTCTGGATTTTCTTGTGAATTAAAGTAGATGGAAGATTTCCGATGACGATAGATTTTGCAGAGAGCACTTTGGAGTAACTAGACACATAATAAACATTTTTAATCTAAATTTAATCGAATTAAAAAGATGAACTTTTAAAAATGAATTTAAAAAGCCCAAAACTTTAAATTTTTTAAAATTAGCTATAAGTCATCAACGTCTTTTTTTGCACTAAAAACGCTTTCTTTTAGCAAAGGACTAGTCCTCATAAGACTTGAAATCGGCTCACCAACTTTTACCGCTCCAATCTGTCCAAAAGTCATCATACTTGGCAGCGGCCTTCGAGAATTAAACACTTCACCGCTTAAACCTAAGAGAACTCGTACATCGTTTTCTGCTTTAATAACTTCTGCGAAAGTTATATAAGGCACGTGTTTTAAATGTTTTTAAAGGTTTCGTTTGTTCTTCTTTAACCTTTGAAGAGTTGATTTTACATCAGAGTGATTTGAAAATATTTATTTATTTTCGTAGTTGGCGTAAAAAAGCATAGTCAGGACACTACATGTCTGAATGGCCACTTTCACTCTCACTGCACAAAACATATCTATATACAACATCAGCAACGTTGATTAATTATGTTCACGACAGTCAAAAATATTTAAACTATGATACAAGCTTTGATGAATCAGATTCACATCAGATTCAAGTTTTGCGCATCGAGAGTGAAAATGACCATCCAGATATGTGAATGTAGTACCCTGACTATGCTTTTTTACGCCAACTACGAAAATAAATAAATAATTTCAAATCATTCTGATGTGAAATCAACTCTTCAAAGGTTAAAGAAGAACAAACGAAACCTTTAACAACATTTAAAACACGTGCCTTATATAACTTTCGCAGAAGTTATTAAAGCAGAAAACGATGTACAAGTTCTCTTAGCGGTAAAGTGTTTAATTCACAAAGGCCGTTGTCAAACTTCGTTAAGTTTCCTATCAACACAAATCTATCGTCGTGGGATATCTTCCAGCTACTTTCATTCACAAGAAAATCCAGAAATAAAAGTGATCTTAAATCTTTGTCCTCCACTTTACCATTTTTTAACCAGATTTTGTTATACTTTCTCATGTTTCGTTTAGCAAGCATACGAAAAACGACAAGCATGGAAGTTCTATACATTATCAAAAGACAGCGAGAAAGTTAAAAATGAAATCAGTTAAATAATTATTGCCATTTAAGCGAAAATATTGCAATCATCCATCATTCACGGTATGAGCCAGGGATGGCAACGAGCCATATTTTTAGCGGTCCGTCCCGACCGGCTGATGATGATTTTTCACAAAAACATGAAATAATGAAAAACAGAGTCAGACCGGGAGCCGACTATTTAAAACGGTCCGACTGGCCCGTGAACCGCTTCAGTCCGACCCGACCGAGCCCGGGAATAGCCCGGAACGTGACCGCCGGTCCGCAAAATTCTGGACCGGTCCGTTTTCTGCCCTGGTATGAGCAAAGAACACCGGAATCGAAGAAAGTAGGTTTTGTTACGATTTTTGTGTGAAAATATATCAAAACGATTATGTGAGGATACTATCCATGTCGAAATACTAAAAATATGAAACTTAAACGGAAATTAATATATGAACAATTAAGAATCCTATTCCTAACAGAAACGTCTAGCTTACCCGATGTCTATACTAATGCTATTTTCTACTAATAGAATAACATCTGTATACTGTATGATTCTGATCTGCATACACAAAAACTAGCTAAAAAACTGAAGAATTTTTTAACTGGTATTTTAGACTCTACAAAAAACTGAAAAGGGTTTTTTATTTTTGATAAAAAACCGCCCGTTTTTCATTTTGCATCTGTCACCAACGCTTTTTAGTTTTTTGGATATAAAAAACGGAAAAGCGTTTTTTAAAAGGTTTATTGGTCTCAATAAACCCTTTTTGATAGTTTATTAATCTACGACTCTTTTTTAGAGTGTAGTATCATAGAATTTAAAAATCCTGCTAGTGAAGTAACACAAAAATAATATCATCCGTGCATTGTAGAAATATGATAACACAGAGTTCGCTACATACCATATAAAAGTAATACAGTAAAAATCAAATCGAGAGTTCAATACCAATGAATCGTTTATTTGATAAAATAAAAGTATCGTGAGTGATGTTTGTTGAACATATAGATATATGATATAAATTAACTAAACGGTCAACAGTAATGATTGGTGAATAATCAACCACCAATGGTATCAAGTTGGTTTTTCCCACTTTTTTATCTGATGTGTCTTCATGTATGTATATTATATTACAGAGTCACTGATCCCGATTATAGTAGAAAACTATTCGCTCTTCCTAATAAGTCTTTGTTCGCACCTCTTGTGTGACTGCCCGAGATGATGGAGTTTTCGCCTACGTCTGTAGAATTTCTTTACTCTCTTTTTATATATGTGTTCATGTTATAACCATATGATCTGAAAGAAGAGAAAAATTTGAGTAATGGTACTCTTTCATCTCTGATATCTACCGATTGCTTACTTGAAGTGAAAAGTAGTCATTTTTTCGTTGGACTAAACTGAGAAGAACTTTAAAAGAACAAAACTTTAGCAGTTTTCTTTGCCTTGAAAAAACAAACAGAACGTTACAGAATGCTGTGTAATTACATAAGTTCATCCAGCAACGTAGCTGCAAATAAAAGGAAGGGGATTATTAAAAAAAGTTTTTCTAATGGTGGAAAAAATGTTGATTTATCTTTGTTTGGAATTCAAGAGAACGTAACGAAATAATTTTCAACGGCAGGGAGGTTGTTAATACACACATAAGTCCTAGTATTTACGCTCCTGAGCTCATCACCTGAGTGTTTAGGCTCACTTTATGTAAGACATAGCCATCGGTTTGTTCCATAGTTCTATAGTCATTTTTCACTTCAAGTCACAGTCATCACTTTTCTTCTAACAAGAGGTACAAATAGAGACTTCGGAAAAAACAAAAATTTGTCTGCTATGACTGAGATCATGGAATCTACATAATTTTTGAAGTACTTGATGAACAACATAACCACTAAAGCTATGCTGTCTTAAACTTCGGCATCGTCAAATCATGTTATAATCGTGCACAAGATACTTATGTCTTAGCACTTCGAATTACTCGTTTGACAGAATACTTACTAAGTTGTGACGTGCGATACAGCGCAGGGTGCTAACCATGGTTACAGTAGGCGTATTGCAGGGTATTCATCTTCTTCCACATATATTGATGGCTTTTTATGAGTCTTCTTTCATTTTACTTTCAGTATTTATTTATTCAATCACCGAAAATAGATCAAATTTATAGGATCGAACTACCTGGGTATGTCAGTTTTCGAATACATATAGTAGACGGGTAATGAAAACAATTTCACAGAAAAACAGTAATGTACACGTTTTTGTTTTTTGAAAAAACTTTGCCTTTTATTAGTTGTCCTAAATACTTTGTAAAAAAAAGGTTTGTGTACGAAATATAAAAGGGTATAGAGAAGTGCAGCCATTTTTAAACAGGTTTCGCAGAAGAAAAGCTACGGTGCGAAACCGTTTAAGTGCATAAATTCTATTCGTTTTTTATCTAAAATTTTTTTTCTGAGGAAGTGGACCATTTCAGTAGCTTAGGCGTGCTTTCATAGTACAGGACGACGAAAACTGAGCCCAAAAAATACCTGACACTTCTATAATTTTTGTTTTTTCGCGAGAATATCATGAGGAAAAAACATAACGAAATAAGCAACTGCACACTGTTCAATCATTTCAATACACTTAAAACTGTTTCGTATCGTACCTTTTCTTATACGAATCCTAAAAGGGTTTAGAAATGATTGCACTTTAGGTTTTGTACGTCACCCTTTTTTTTCAGAGAGTATTTTTCAGGATAAAATAACTGGATTTTTGAAGAAAAAGCTCCTAGAAGAAGAGAACTCCTAGGGAAGTAAGAACTATGTTATTATGATGAGCATCCATTGATGTTTGTCAAAAGATTCAGAGAAATCATATTCGTTAAGCTATGAAGTATAGCCTTTTTTATTACTGTAGATGTGTCTGAGTGTGTGATTATTTTGTACAAGAGCCTAATGCGATTTGATTTGCAGGAGTACGAGATATTCCCGTATTTGACTCATGCTTTCGTTATTGCAAGGAATTCTTGTGTGTCGATATTGAATCAAAATCAATTTTAGTTTTTTACATAAACTCATAGTCGGAAGTGTTTCCTTTCAGAATCTGTATCGTTCACTACTCTGTAAGTAGTTTTGAACAGATTTTGACAGGTTTTATTAAGCACACCCCAAAACTCAATCGCTTTTTGACATTTCTGTCTGTGATTTGCGATTTCTTAACAGATATGTCTGACCGTTCCTTTTTAGTTTAAAAAAATCAACTCAGAGCGAGTACATTGCATGAGGACAAAATGGTTTTACGTCATGACTTACGTCTGAAAATGTACTACTTCACCAAGATCGAGGAAACAGAATTGACGGTATTACATTAGTAGCTGTTGCAGTGGAAGAACCTTCTATGTAACAGAAATATAAAGATTTTCGAACATTTTGGAATACAAATGTTTTGTTTAGCTATAAAAGCTATCAACGTTGTCCACTTTGTGCTACAGTGTTTCCGTCAACGCCACAAAAATTTAATAGACTATGTTAAACTTTGTTTTTCATGTATATCCAAATTTGTTGAATATTCCATTAGAAAGAACTCTTTTTGTACTCTTCAGAACTACATTACATAGTCCATTGCAGTTACTTTTTTTATGAGCGATCGTTGAACTTAGAACTTATTTTACGTTTTTACCAGAAGTGTGTTCTGGCACATTTAAATACAACATTACATATTAATTTCTTTTTGATTGAGAGTATAAATGGGAGTTCACAGACAGACTCATGTGATTTTTGAAGTTCTCTCTTGTTTCGAAGTACAATGAAAATCATACAGTCTTGTAAATGAGATTGTTTTACTGTGAACTTGATATGCTTCACAGGTGGACAGAACGTACGGTATTCTGATATGAACAACACGACTTTTTATGCATACGGTACGGTACCATACGGAACACTATATTTACAGTCTTTTATATCTCCGAGACGAGATCTTGGCATTTATTGTAGTGGTGAACGTTAATAGCGATTATACATATATGTGAACAGTTTGATTCTCTTGTATAGAGCAGACTCAAATAGATAGCTGACTTTCTTCTACGTTGTATATTTTGTCTTATTCTTCCAGTTTTCTATGTTAGTAAATCACTTAATGAAAGTAACAGTAACTGAAAAATAGAATAAGAGCTGTATTCTGGCGGCATTGCCCTTTTAACGGCACAGTCTAGTACGGAGGGAGAATCCTGCCGTATGGTATAATATAGTACAGATGTGATCGACCTTTTAGACTTTCACATAGAGTACGATACTGTAAAAGATCTTGTTCTATTCACGTCTGATACGTTTGTCAAGAAACATAATAAAGAAATGCGCAAACAGGTTAGGCTGAAATGTAACTCCCGGTCTGTAGAATTCTTTAAATCAGATCCGATCTTTGCAGCTTTTTCAGAACTCAAGAAAAATGTGTCGTACAACAGGCCCCATCTTGACTCTCTTGTTACGCACCTATAATTCCTGAACGGCTCAACCTTAATTAGGCCTTAATTTTTTTCATAATCTACAAATGTGATGACCTGTATTCTGCGAACGTTTGCTCAGAGAGATTGTACACTATAGAAAAAAACTTGCTGAGAAGGATTTTTCCTTATGCATTCAATCTATTTAGAATTTAATTGTTTCCAATGGCATTAAGAGGACTTGGTAGAGGAACACCAGTTGTGGAAGAACCACTAAACGGTAAGTTTTTTGGTGAAAAAATATGTTCAGTAGTTTCCTATGCATTTCTAATTTAAAACCAGAACAAAACAATGAATGTTCTTATAACAATACTTCATACAGAAGACACGTAAGACGGTCAAAATATTTTTATTTTCCATCAGCAAGGCATGGTTGAATTTCGGTTTTTAGCATCATTATAACGAACTTAAAAATATACAAGGTAAATTTTTATACCATTTTCCTTTTGTCTTAATTGGGTGTTTACCTTTTTATTTAGAAGAACGTCAAGAAAGACCAATACCCTACGTTTCTCCACCCTCACCTACAGAACACGATGATATATTTGCTATTAGTTGTGGAAAAGGGGAAAATATAAAAAAATACACAGATATTCCGGTTACTTGTACTCCTGAAGGGCTTATTACACCAATCAATACGTTTGAGAAAAGTTATTTGAATGAACAAGTGTTGGCGAATATACGTGAATGTAAATATGATGATCCGTTAGCCATTCAATGTTGGTCAATACCCATCATACTTCAGCATTTCGATTTACTGGCATGCGCAAAAACAGGTTCAGGAAAAACAGTGAGTGTCAATTATTGTTAATATTCAACTTCACCAATGTATTTGTTTTCTATTTTAGGCCGCTTTTTTATTGCCGATAATAACACGTTTGTTAGATTCCATTTCGATACAAACTTCAAACCAATCAGCACCATTGGTTTTAATTGTTTCGCCTACGCGAGAGTTAGCAATACAAACCGAAAGTGAAGCACACAAATTTTCTTTTAAAACACCAATCAAAACGTGTATGTCTGAAATTTTTATTTTGCAATGAACCACTGGTCTTTAGAACCTGATTCTTGTTCGCTGAATAAATGTAGCTCGTACGAATCAGAACTATACAGACGTTTTTGTCGTCTGTAGGTGCTATTTTTGGTGGACAGAGTTTGTACTCTGTGCGTGCACGTCTTCATGGCTGTCATATTGTATCTGCTACAACTGGACGATTGATAGATATGGTGCAAAAAGGACAATTAAGTTATTTCTTTAATAATTTTTATCGTTGGAATGTTAAATGAATTTTTTTTTCTTCAGTTATTATTAGATCAGGTGAAATATTTCGTACTGGATGAAGTCGATCAAATGTTGAATATACAGTTTGAACCGGATATACGACGATTAGAAACACTTGGTTTACCATCAAAAGGTCAACGACAAACGTTGATGTTTTCAGCTACCATATCACCTGAAATTCAAAGAATTGCAGAAGTATTTTTACAAAATTATTTGTTTTTGAGAGTTGGAGATGCAGGAGGTGCGAATGAAGATATTGTTCAAACGATTGAACAAGTACCACGCGACAGAAAAACAGACCGTTTATTAGAAATATTACAAACAGACTTTAGTAAGTGAGACGCGAATAAACGCATATCCCATTGATTTCTTTGAATACGATATATAAACTGGATAACACTACGTCCTGAAATAAAGGTGTTTTTTATAAGCCTTAATGTTTCATGAATCTTTATAATAAACCCATAACGGTTCATTAGCCATTTTCCTGAACCTAAAAGGTTTTCAAAAGTTACCAAACCCAGTGGTTTAATAGACAAGGGATATTTTAAAAACGGAAGGAGTTTATTTCAACGCTTACCAAACCCCAAAAGTTTATCATTCTTCTCATGCAATCCATTGAGTTGATTGCTAAATCTGTAGGGTATTTTAATAAACTGCTATAATTTATTAGTTTATTAAAATAATGTCTAAAAGTATTTTAAAAAAGGTTTTTCAACAAAAGTAAGAAACGCTTTCGGACTTTATAAAAAACCGGGGCATATTTTCATTTATGGTCATAAATACGAAGGGTTCAGTACCAAATGAAAAACCGCAAGAATTTTTTAAATTTCGGTTTTGTAGTAATTCATTAAGTTTTTTTCCTCAAAACACTACAGTCAAATGCCAATTGCTACGATCACCATGGCGTGTACTTCTAAACAACAGAAACGTTTTTAAAACATTCTCCACACTTGGTCTCTCAACGGGGCGCTTATTACATCTCTTTTCTCCCCCGTCGTTCGCGTTCAGTATAGAGACATTTATTAGATCTAATAAACCCTTGATGTTGGGTTTATTAAAATAAAACCTCATTGTGTTTTTCGATAGTTTTAGTTTAGAATACTATAATGGAATATTCTTCCGCTTGTATTCTGACAGAATAAAGCTATAAAACAAACAGAACACAAAAAACATACCAAAAAAATGACTACTGATAACATCGAATCGATTGCACAACTTCAATCGTTGTACAGAATATAGATACGGAACGGTGAATTTAGTTTTGTAGTTTACTACAAAGCTAAGTTCACGTGTTCGAATCTCTATTCGTACAAAAATTGATATTGTGTTTTTCGATAGTTTTAGTTTAGAATACTATAATGGAATATTCTTCCGCTTGTATTCCGACAGAATAAAGCTATAAAACAACCTCATTGTAGAAGAAGGGTTTATTAATGTGATAAACCCCTGTTAACTAAACCCTAAAGGCTTTCGCATGATGAAGCGTTCCTAAACCCGTAAAAGGTTTATTGAAACATTTTTTTCGAGTGTAGTTTTTAAAGGTTTAAGTAACTTGGTGAGTATTATTATACCAATACGGAAAATTGTTACTCACTGTGCCATCTTATTTAGAGAATAAACGATGTTTAGTATTTGTTGAAACGACAAGACAGACTGACTTTATTGGAATTGTTTTAAATCAAATGAATTTGCCTGCTACAACGATACACGGATTAAGAACTCAAGTCCAACGAGTTCAAGCGTTTAATGATTTTAAAACTGGACGAATTCCTATATTAGTGGCCACCTCCGTCGCTGCACGAGGCTTAGATTTTCCGGAGATTGAGTGTGTAATCAATTATGATTTACCCGATACAGAAGAATTTTATATTCATCGAATTGGACGAACGGGTATGCATTTTTTATTCAAATTTTATTGATCTCTTCTCATGTCGAGCATATTTTTATCAGCACGAGTAGGTCATTTGGGTAAATCAATTAGTTTTTTTGATCCACAACGTAATCATGATCAAAGAATTGCTCCATATCTAGTTGATCAATTAAAAGCAGTATGTAATACTTTGATGTTGTTTCTTTATGCAAATTCTTTTGTCTTTTAGCTTGGTCAAATAGTGCCAGAATTTTTAAAAAATATGACTGAACCATATGTAGATCAAACTAACAGAACAAATTGTCAACAAAATGTAAGTTTAGATAACTCTAATTCTGAATCATAACAGTTTCTTGTTTTTCGTTTTATGAATTCTAATGTACGTTTCACTTTTGGTTTAAGAATCATACAGGTGGTTTTGGCGAACGATATGATAGATCTTTTCCTGCAGGAGAAGCAGAAATTTCGTCCTAATTGATTTTTATTCTACGACGTTCATGTAGGCGTTGGTTATTCTAACAAAATCTTATTATCGATTTGCCAAATGTTTTTCAAACGCCCTCTTCCCGTTTGGTCTTCTTTCTTATTTTGACAGAAATGATGGTAAAAGCATCTGCATGCTCAATCTCTGATTATATATAGATCAGTTTGCTTTTTGCGTTTTCGACACGTATAAAAAACCGTTAAAAAATATTCTGTTTGCGATATAAGTCAACCTCTTAATGTAACTTCGAGCAAAAGTAAATATTCTCTTTTAATTTAAGAATTTGATCATTAATTAGCTTTTCTCACTAGTTTGATCTTTTTAGTTTCTCAAATCAATCTCTTCCCCACTTGCAAGCTATCCTTCTCAGACGCTCGCCTTTCTGAAGGAAACTAAATCGATCGTTATTTAACCTTTCAACGTTAAAAGCTTCCCTATATTGTTTTTTCACTGATCTAACTGATCAGTTTTCGTTTCATTTTATAGAATGTAAATAGCTTTTTGTTTTTTTGTTGATGTTCATTACTAATAATACACGATAATTTAAACTTTATTACTACTGTCTAAATTTCGGTGCCAATGGCCATTTTTCGAATAGCTTGAGAACGAAAAGAGATAGAAAATTCCGGTTTCCACCATGTGAAAGAGGAAACTTGGGTTATGTTTTCACAAGCAAAATTATTTTCAGAAGAGTTTTCTGAAACAGGTTTTCTAGGAGATCTTTGAAAAACCAGGTCACGTGTAAAACTTCTCCAATAGGATTGTATTGTTTTTTTTTCATAGAGTGATAGATGTTCTCTGCAAATGGGAGTCAAGCGAGATCTTGATTTTTCATGGTTCGGGCATTGTATCGGATTGAGTATCGGGCTGGAGTCCGGGACTGGCACCTGGTGACTATTAGTAGCCTTGAAAATGAATGGACTATAGGTAATCGATCATGCTGAGTCTCGTGGTAACATTTTCTTTTAGAAAAAGTTCTGAAAATGTAGCGAAAAGGAAGTTTTACGAAAATTGGGCTTTTCAGGCTGTTTTTCACCTAATATTAAAAAATTCACTATTCACTCAAAAAACTCATCAGAGCGAGTTCAAAACTCCAGGATATGATTAATTCTGTCTGTAAAAGGAATTGTGTGATACATCATTAAAAAGTGCCTTTCAAGTGCTATAAGATGCTTTGTTTATTTTTTTATGAACTGTCCTTTGAGAAGAGAAACAGTCCGTTTTCGGAATCTATGATTTTACACAGAATTGCACTACCGACATGATAGCGATAAAGTCAATTTTCTCTAAATTTGTGCACTTTTCCACGAAAAAAATATTACCACGCGATTCAGCACGATTGATTACCTACGCTCAAGCTGATTTCCAAGCTAAGTCAGTGAACACCAGTCCTGGAGCTTCCAGGAAATTCAAAGTCACACCTCAATCATTGAAAATCAAGGTCTCAGTTGACTGCCAGCCCACAGAGGGCACTATCTAATCATTGGAAAAAGACAATATATTCTCACTTTGGTTTTTAAAGAACCAAACGATTTTTGATAGATCTGTACGAAAATCCTGTGTTCTATCCTGTGAATTATTTTCCGATAGACAGAACGTTTTTGTTCTGCTTGTGGAAAAAGAGATTTCTGGGACAGTTCAGTTCAATAAAATTGTATTCGCATTGATCCGCTTGTATCCGCATGGATCTCGGATCCGCCTTTTCCCTCTTGAGACTATTGCTCTCAGAGTTGGAACCGGATCGGTATCGGGTCGGCCGTTAACGGCCGACTCGATCCGATTACACTTTTCAATCGACCGCTTTTTACCGTTTTATTACCGATTTATCTTTATAAAACTCATTTTAGGATTTTCCTTCTTGTCAAATTACATTTCAGCAAAAAGAATTTCAAAAAAAATTTGCTTTTTTTCGTGTAAATTTCAATAGCAGAAACAAAACTGACTTTTACTTTCTCCTAATAACACCTATAGTTTTAAGAAGGGTTTGAAGGAAAATTCAGCTATGCATTCAACGAGTAATTAGTCATATACATGTATTTATGAACACATAGTAATTAGTTACGACTTATTCATTTTTCTTTATTTTTTCTGTTTTGTCCACAAAATAGTATAAAAAAATATGTCGGTCAGAACTGTTTGTGTTGTGAAAGTGTGTATATGAGTATCTTATTCTCATTGTCATATTTGAACGTCAAAGGCATCTCCATCAGACAAAATAGAGCAAAACGAACAAAAATATAATTAGTTGGACTATGCATATCTGATAGTGCTGACGAAAAAGAAGGTGGAGATAATGTGCTAAAGAGACAACAACTGGTTATCATTTTCTTCGTGCCTATATTTCCATCTTGAAAGATGGTTACAAGGACACACTGTGTGTTTTAGTGGCATAGACCACTGAAAAACAAATATCATTAGAAAATAATCAAACTTTTTTAGACCGGTTTTTACCGATTTAGAAAAACTTTTTAATCGGCCGTTAACGGCCGATACGATCTGACGTAGCTTTCCAACCGGCCGATACGATCCGATTGCGTTTTTTTCAAACGGTTTGCGGTTTAAACGGTTTATAATATGAAAAAAAATACTCTGTTCTTTTATTATTCTCACCTGTTGGAAGTTTCTTCAAGATGATGCATTATGCATGCTTCATTCCAGTTCTCTTTTCTTCAACACTTAAAACCGAAGAGCAAATTTTAAATCGTGAGTGAATAAAAACAAATATTTTTATCAGTTTGTGTAGTCTTCTAAGTGACATATAGAATAGAAGAATGTCTTATCCTGAGTTATGTATGCGATACTGAACTCTTTAATAAATGATGAAGTAGTAGGATAGTAAGCATAGGATATTAGAACAGTAGATCATTATTTAGACTTTTAAAAATTCTGAAAAAGAAAGAGAAAAAAGAGAGTAGATCCGAAATGATTGTGGATAGTAAGTAGTACTTACCATCCACAATCCAGGTTTATTATCTATAATATCGTGGACATTTAGGTTATAGTTTAGTATGTCTTATGTGGAAAACAAAATATTTCGGAGATTTCAATACCAAACATTCAGATTGGAATTGCGAAAAAAAGTAACGTTAGCGGTAACAAACTAAGGATGTGGCTTGATGAAAATGGTTTGAAACAATACATCCATCAAAACCCAGTTCAAAAAAGTCTAATTCAGTAATCGACTTCAGAATTGGGAAAGATAACTCGAATTGGAATGTAGAAAGATTAGAGGAAAGCAGATCAGATCATTTTGTTTTACTTCCCTTTTATAGCTGGAGAGAATGGAGTTTTTCGAAAAACCAACTGAAAAGTTTTTAATTTCTTTTTACAGGTAGTTTATTCATATTGGAATGCTTTTGTATATAACTGTGATCACGATGCCTCCTTGATATTTTCTCTGCTTTTCTCGCAGCGCTATGCGACCGATGTAGTGAATACGAAAATGCAAACTTCTTCAGACCGTCTTGGTCACCTCATCTAGTCAGATTAGCAAAAACTGTAAATAGCCTAAGAAGGAAGTTTTTAAGACACGTTTTTTAGAAGATTAGAACAATTTTTCATACTGGAGAGATGTGTATTTAAAGGAGAAGGTGAGATTTGAACAAGAGAAGAGAGAAAGGAAAGTTAAAAATATGAAAGAAGGGAATAACGTATGGTCTCATGTTAAAAGTATATTCCACCCTTGTTCTCCGTCTTTTAGAGGTCTGACAGCCAAAACTGAGATTGTAAAAGATAATCAACAAATAGTTGATAGACTCGCTGATTATTATGGGAAACATTTCTCTAAACCTGTTTTTTGACAGTAATAACCTTTTTCATTTAGAGTGTGTAGACGCTTATAGGAAGATCGAAAATACACCGAATATTTCTCTCGATAACATTAAATTAGATGAAGTTATACTACCGAAGTTTACTATACTAAAAAACAGCGCGTAAAAATCGAACATGCTTATGAGGCAGGTCTAAGGTTGGTGTACGCCTTATAGGGGTATGATGACCTTGCAACTTTAGCTTTAAGTAGAGAATTCGCTCTACGAGATTATCTCTTCAGGTATTGGACAAAATTTTCAAAACACTTAGAAGAATCTGCAGAGGCAGTCTCTTACCAGCAAACTTGGACAGCATACCTCATCGCTACATCACCTTCTAAAACTTATTACAAAAGCATGGGCTTTCGAAAAAACAGCTTATTTCCAACCAGACTCGCGAAGAGAGCTCATCATACGTATTTGGACGTACTCACGTTTGGGGATGTACACAAAAAACAGTTCGGTCTATTCAAGAAAACTTCTTCTCTTCTTGAATACTTCATGTGAAAGTATTTTCCTGAATATCCCCCGTGAGAAATTCTGTGTGATATTAGACTAAAAACCTGTATGCACAAAAGAAATAGGAAAAACAAAAAGTGTAAACAAAGAATGTTTATTTTTTTGTTGGCTACTCAGTTGTTTTTGTTATGCTCTTCCTCCCATGTATCTTAAGGTTTTCTGTTCTCTCTAAATATTGCTATGTTGGGACAGATGAATCCTTCCCACTCGAGAAATATTTCGAACTAGACGTAGTTCAGCCAAAAATTACTGTTCCTATCCCGGCGATGGCAACTAAGACGATGCTTCAGAAATAGGACGTCTGAACTCGATATCGATTTTTTCTGTAACTATATATGTGGAACATATCAGCTAAAGCAAAGTAAAGTTTATGCCAAGGCTCATGTGTACGATCACGAAAATGAATTCGAACTACAGATCTCGCCAGATAACGATTGTTTAATCCGATGTCGACTTCAAAACCGCCATTCAAGTAGTACACGTTATTTCATCTGCATTAATGACGAGCCTATCAATGACCACTTTTGCCAATGTAACGATGGAAAATGGATCATGGGATGTTATATTCATATGACTATGGTACTCTGGTATCTCGCGTATGTTCGACAAAATGAACGGAAGCCACTCTGACGGGCAAAACAATCGAAAGAAAAAAATCTCACTTGGTGACATGTTACAATGAACAAAACACACTATAACTGTGACAATTGAGAATGTTCATGTTTTTGTTACTGTTTAGACAAATAAAAAAGAGCATAGTGACCGATGATCGTCCTGCCATAGTGTGTCTTACAGCTAGAGAAGAAGGCTTCAATCTGTTACATTAAGCTTTTGGATTTTGATCAACTGCCTCTGATGGTCAAAATTGAAAAACGATCGTTTCTAAAAACCTTTGGTTTTCCATAGAGTCTCTACAAAACCTTGTATTGTATGGCATTTTCAAATTTAAAGGTTACAAGTAGAAAGAGCGAGAAAAACTGTGTCCGTGGTTAAATTTTCAGTGTCATCGGACGATATTTTGAGGAAATATGCATATTGGACTTTTAAGGTATTCACGGTTTCATGGTACTTTCTAATTAAAGAGCCGCTAGTGCACTATAACTCGCTCAAAGTGGAAGTGCGATAATGCATTTTGTAGCCCTTAATGTGTTCTATAAAAAACAGTGCGCGTAGATTGGCGAAACCCTAGCTGACCTTCCGGAACCAAAGTACAGGGTCGAGTCTCTAATCCAGGCTCCAAATCATGGACATGTGCAGTGAAGATATCCAGAACCTCTCTAAAATGCTTCTAGCATAGCCTGTTCGACTCAGTTGTTTACGATAAACAGGAATAGGAATAAATCATGATAAAAGTTACCAGTCAGTGATTATACAAATCACTGTTGATCCTCAGGTAGATATTTCGCAATTTAGTAAACATTCAGATGAACAAGAAGTTTTGTTTGATATTGGCGCCATTTTTCTGTTGACTGAAGTAGAATATAAGACTAAAGAAAATTACTGATTAATTCAAATGACAACAACAAATAAACAATTAGAAATGAGTGATAATTATTTCAAGAAAAGATCATAGCAATCAACTTTTGCACATCCAAAGGTAATTCTTGGTCAAATGTTATTTGATATTGGCGAACATTCAAAAGATCATGACTATTTTATGAACTTATTATTAGATAAGGACAATAACTGTATTTTAGCTCAAATATTAGAATTAATTGGCTTAAATTTTTATTATAACGGTGACTATGAAAAATCATTAATTTATTATTTATATACAGCTGATCGATACAGAGATCAATGTATTGTTTTTCTTATGACGATATAATCTCAAAAATTAATCAAATTAATTATCAAATGAACAAATCCAACAATAAAATGTCTAATTATGATAATGAATCAATTACCGATACGGCATACCAGTATTATTATCAAAATAATTATAAATGTGCTTTAGAACATTGTTTTTGTACTTTTAACTAACCATAGGAATAGATACCAAGTTGATTATAGAGAATTTGGTTAATATTGTCATTTTATAGGTAAATGTTATTATAAGTTAAAAAACTATTCAAAAGCATACAAACACCACACATATTCATTTCAACTTTTAAAATCAATTTTATCAATAAATCATCCAGAAATTCATGAAACTAGAAATTGTATTACTAAAATAGAAGAAATTAATGGAGTATAAAATACAAATTATATTTACGTTGAAACTGATTCTTTTTCTATATTTAATTTATTTTTATATCATTATTGTATTTAAATCCAATAGTGATAATATATTCTACAAATTAGCTGTCGAGTCTTTGAACATCATTGACGAAATTCAATCAGAAATTAAATTATTGTGTAAAATTCCAATAGATAAATTTACATTTATTAATGGAAAAAACAAATTGTTTACTCGATGATAATAGTAGAACATTAGAAAAACTGAATATTAATCAAATTAATTTTTTCTACTCGATACTGTAATCCAATAAGAATTTATTATCAACAACTATGCAGAGATCGAGTATTGTTAGACGTTGATCTATATGATTCAATGATGGATATTAAACGAATGATAGAAGAGAATGAAGAAATACCAAATGGTAAATTTAATCTTTTTTTTTAACTGGAAAACTATTCAAGACAATACAAGATTATTTGAGCATAATATAGAAAACGATTCAACATTATTCCTAAAAATCCACAGATAAGAAAATCATTTTAACAGAAAAGAATATTCTAATTCATATTAAAACAACAAAAAAAAAATATGAACAGTTTAAAATTCAAGACACAACAACTATTTTATTGTTGAAAAATGGTATAGAAAGAAAATTAAATATTCTATCTAATCATCAAACATTAAAATTTAATAATATAGAATTAGAAAATGAGAAATACATTGTAGATTATCAGATTAAACAGTACTCCATAATAACTTTAATACTATCACCGGATTTATATCAAATGATCTATCTATATTATTCGATATTCCATTGATTCATCGATTGAGTTTTATATTCATCGGTGGGATAGAATTAAAGATTTCAAATTATTAATTGAAAGAAAATTTAATATTTTTCTGAAACAACAAACACTTCATTTCAATGGTGAACAGCAGATAGTTTGTTAATTTTACAATATTCATCCATTCAAGATCATTCACTTATTGAAGTTATAGATCATAATTTAGACTTAAATATAAATGTTAACATTAAATTTTCAACAAATTGTAGATCATTGATAATAAAAATAAAATCATCAGAAACAACAGAAAAATTAAAAAAATTAATTGAGAAATTAAGATCAAATGTTTTAGTTCAATATCAACATTTATTTTACTACGCTATATTCAATACATTTATCTTAGATAATAATAATTTTATATTAAATGATTATAAGATCTATGATAAATCAAAAATATTTTTAATTCATACAACATTATGTGAATATTCTATTTATATTAAACGTACAAAAACAAATGATGTATTAGAAATACCTGTTAGATCATCTGATACAATTGACCATAACGGGTGGGCCAGATAAAACCGGCCACTTTTGTAGGTACCGTCCAATAGTTCCAAGGATTCTTTTTAAAGTCAATCGATAGAGAATTGAATTCTCTACAAAACCTATAATTTTAATCTCTGATAGCGTTTTTCCCGG